CTAAATCCAAGACTTGCTTAAAAAAATAGTTAAAATCATGACAAATTTGGTTCAATAATGAAATTCATGACTTTCCAGGTGCACGGATACCCTGTATATATATACAGTCAATTCGCTATAACTCGAAGTACGATAACTCGAATATTACTATAACTCGATTTTTTTATGACGTCCCGACCCTTTTATCTTCAATTTCATGTTAATTATTCTCGATTACTCGAATTTTACTCCCTTTAACTCGATTTTTTTTATCTTTTAAAGGAAGAAAAAAAACCTAGGAGCTGATATCGTGCTCCTTCCTTTGCAAAACACACACAATGTCTTTCGCACTCTTCATGGAGAAGCTAAAGCTNGAATATAGATTAACATATATATATACATTTTATTAATAATTCAGATATTCAGAGCACCATGAAGTGGGGGGGGGGTTAGATTGCATTTTAAAAATTAGGTTTTTCAGCAAACTAAATCCAAGACTTGCTTAAAAAAATAGTTAAAATCATGACAAATTTGGTTCAATAATGAAATTCATGACTTTCCAGGTTTACGGATACCCTGTATATATATATACATTTATGTATCCAAAAATTGTACCAAAAAATTGAGATTTTTAAACTTGTAAACTATGCAATTATAAATCCCAATGATTAATTTTAAAATTATATGAATATATGAATGTGAATCCCATGCATAATTTTAAATTCAGAAAATGTGAATATGAGGCTTATAAATCACGCGAATATGAAACTCTATTTTAAATTAGAAAAATGCAATAATACAAATCATGATTCGTAATTTCTTGATCATGTAAATACGAATCACGATGCATAATTTTTAAATTGTGCGAATATAATACGCAGCGAAAATTGACATGGTAAAGAAGAAAAAATATATTATTTTCGAAGAAGGAAAATTAATAACTTTTTAAAAACACACCATGAAAAAAACACCTTTAAGCGCTTTTAAAAAACGAAAATGTGCACCCTTAAAAAAGTTATGCGCCGTGTATTAGAACAAGAAATGAAATATCAAAATGAAAAAAGTGATTAAAGTAAAAAAAAAAAAGAAGTTAAAAATAATAGTAAGAGAAGAAATCTTCACTGCAAACAGCACACATGGGCGTCCCCTAAGCCTCCACAAGTGAGACGGGGGGACACCATCGTACGCAGCCCAATGCGTTTTCCTACGCCTCTACCTTAACAGATGAGGTGGGAAAAGTGCAGATGACAAAGGGGAGTTGGAACCAGGGTTGGCAGAATGGATTAATCCACGGTCTAAACCGTCCTGTCCAAAACCCTTTTACTCAAATTATGTCACAATTTCATCTGAACAATATTTAAGAAGTAAAATAAACATAGAACCAATTACATATTGATAATTAAATATACTAGAGAATATTTGTTTCTAAAAGTATAATTAAAGTACAATTTAAACTAATATATTTACATTTAAAATCTTTTTTTTAAAAATAGATGTCTTTTTTATCATCCTGTGATGAAGAAATTATAAAATTTTTTTAAAGAAATATTGTGAAAAATAAAAGGTTAATTTTTGAACAAATTTAGTATTTTTATTAAGAAAAATTATTATTTTTTTAATATTGCCATATTTATCCTTATGCAAAAATATTATTTATCAGTATGAAAAGCATATTTATATTTAAAGGATTAGGTATTCACTTTTGTTGTTCAATGAATTGTGGAGCTTCAAAAATTATAAACCTTTTCTTGTTATATTAGATTATTTTCTTTTAATAGAAATTGTGAATGCAGCAGAGTTGCACATATGAGTGAAAGAATCTCGCCAAATTCAGCTCAGTAGTCACTCCCAAGTATGTCATCAAACGTGTTACATGATTGGTGCTAACATATGTTACGGATCGGCAGCACGCCGAAATGGAGTGTGGTTGAATGAATTGTGCAGACGTTGAATAGAACAATTCGAAAACACTCTTTTACATAATATGCAGCGAAAATTGACATGGCAAAGAAAAAAATTACCATTTTCAAAAAAGGAAAATTAAGCACTTTTTTAAAAAAAAATAATGAAGAAAGCAACTTTAAAGGTTTTTAAAAAAACAAAAATAAGCACCTTTAAATATAAATAAAAAATAAGCACCCTGTTTGACGTCAATTAAGGCTTAGCCTAATGAAACTAATCAGCAATATTGAGCTACATAATCTCGATGTGATATTTATAAATTCTAATGCAACTGATAATTCAACTAAAAAAAATGGAGGTCCACCTGATGCCAAAAAATATAATATTTTGAAATGAGGCCGATTCATGATTAAGAGAATGCAAGTGGTCCGAGTACTGCAATACAATAGAAATAAAAGTAGCAAATAATTTGTAAAAACAAACTGAGAATATAAACATACCAATGTAGATTCATCAGATGGAAAAAAAAAATTTTTTTAAAAATAAAGTATATTGTTCTGTATCCTAATGATAACGAGGTCATCCCATGAGCACAAAAATTCTAATAATGAGCATGCTGCACCAATGTAATATTGAAATGATTATAGCAAATAATTTGCAGAAACAAAGAATGGAAAAGAGAAAAATCTTTTCCTAAGACGAAAAAAAAAAAAACACCATTTTTTATACAGTAAATTCTTCTTTAGATGAATGATTGCAAAAAATTAGATAAATGATAGCAAATAATTTGAAAGAATAAACTGAGAATTGAAAACATACAAATGGAAATGAATGGAATAAGACGAAACTTTCCCTTTCGAAGAAAAGATAAATTTTTTATAAATTCAATTCACGCTTAGCATAAAAGTGTTTAGCATTTTGAATGAGTTAATCACTAAGTTGTTTGAATCACTAAGAATCATACCTGCTAATAGCAATTTTTTAGGTATGATAGATTGTCTGCACCAATGTAAATTTGAAATAAAGGGATTAAATAATTTGACAAAAAAAACTGAGAATGGAAAACATACAAAAACATGTTTATCTGATGGAAAGAAAAAAACAATTTATTCATACGGTCAATTCTTTCTTAGCCTAATGAAACTAGTCAGCATTTTAAACCTAATAAATCTCCACTTACATTTACAAGTACTTATACAATTGACAATTGAAACTTATGGACAAGAAGGTTAATCTGATTATAAGAATAATTTGAAATAATTAATTATAATAATTTGTAATGAAGCCAACTCATGCTTAAAAAATGCAAATAATCAACATGCTGTACCAAATATAATATTAAAATAAAGGTCACAAATAGAACAAACTCAGAATAGAAAACATAAAAAAATATGTTCAACTGATTTAAAAAAAATAAAAAAGATTGCTTATTAAGTCCATTCACACTTTTCCTAATGAAACCAGTCAGCATTTTGTACCGATACAATCTTGATGTGATTTTAGAAATTCTGATGCAACTGATATTTTTTTGCCACCGGATGGCAAAAAATTAATTATTAGAAATGAGGCCAACTTATACTTAATAAAATGCTAATAATCAGCATTCTGCAGAAATGTAATATTAAAATAAAGGGAACAAATAATTTGAAAGAACAAACTGAGAATGGAAAACATACAAAAATATGATCATCTCAAGAAAAGAAAAAAAAAAATTTTTTTTTTATGGAGTTAATCTAGGCTTAGTCAAATGAAATGAATCAGCATTTTGCACCTATACAAACTCGACGAGATATTTATAAATTCTGCATTAATATAATATTGAAATGATGATAGCAAATAATTTGTAAGAACAAACTGAGAATGGAAAACATACCAAAGNATCAGCATTTTGCACCTATACAAACTCGACGAGATATTTATAAATTCTGCATTAATATAATATTGAAATGATTGATGTAATATAATTATAATATTATTAATATAATAATGATTAATATAATATTGATGATAGCAAATAATTTGTAAGGACAAACTGAGAATGGAAAACATACCAAAGTCTAGGCATGAAAGAGGTCGGAAAAAAAACAAAAAAGAAAAAAAAACTTTTACAACGCAGGAGGGGGAGGGGAGTGTTCTATATAATACTGTGAAACCGCAGATATATATAAAAGCAGCTTCCAACTCTACTGGGAGATTTTTATTTAGTATTTAAAGTGACAGAAGCATTTAGACAGTGAAATTTAAATTTTTAAAAAATATATAATTTTAAAATTTTGATCACTACTACTATAGCAGAAGTGGCGGTTGTCAAGACAACGGCACACCTGCCAAAATTCGACAAATTCCCTGGTTCATCAGATAGATAAAAGTAACAATTTTTAAAAAGTCAATTCAGGCTTAGCCTAAAGAAACTAGCAACCTATAGTATCTGGGCATGATATTAACAAATTCTAATGAAACTAAAAATTGCACTAATGAAAAAAAGATCCATCTGATGGCAAAAAGTATAATAATTTCACATAAGGCTTACTCATACCTAAGTAAATGCTAATAATCAGCATGCTGCACCATATAATATTGAAATAATAAGAAAAAATAATTTCCAAGATAAAACTGAGAATGGAAAACATACAAAAATACGCTCATTAGATGGGGAGAAATAAAAATTTCATACAGTCAATTCATGTTTATAGCCTAATGAAACTATTCATCATTTTAAATTTATATAATCTTGATGTGATTTTTACAAACTCTAATGCTACTGGTAATTGAACACAAAGAAAAGCAGGTGAATCTGCTAGCAAAAATATAATTAGTCTAAAGACTAACTCATGCTCAAGATAATTTTTTAAAATAATAATACTCTACTTATGAGTGCAGATGGATGCTAATACTTATTACTGATTTTAAAAGGAAAGAAAAATTGATTTTTAGAAGAATATCCAACCAAATCACCACTTGTTATATTCTTAATATATACATTACATATAATTTTGAAAAACATGAAATTATGATTTAAATCAGGATTTGTGATTAAACATATTTTAAGAAGTTCAGTTTTTCAACTTATACTAATATAACAAATTATTACAAGTTTTAACAATACATTCTGAGACAGGTAACTAAATTAAAGATTGTATTATATTTATATACAATACTGAAAAATTCACATTTCAATTTTCAAAATATAAACTAATGAACAACTGGATATGTATATTTTCTTCTCAGGAATGAAGAGTGGTGCGTATGTACAAAATTTATTAAAAATTTTGAAATATTTACTTCATAAATAATAATAAAGATAAATCCTACCAGCTTTTCTTCTCTAAATGGTTTGTTGACTATAGTCAAGATAAGATTCCTTTATCGTCAATTGCTTGAGCTATGACCTATAAGAAAAAGTTTAAAGAATCAGGTTGTTTTAGTAAGACACATATTATTTAGTAATGTTTTTTTTTAATATTATTTAATCCAAAAAGTTCAATATGTGTAAATGAGCTAAATCCATATATATTGTGGGGAAAGTAGTTACAGACCATGTCAACCATCATCTATGAAAAGGTACCCCGACATAGATGACGGTTGACATGGTCTGTAACTACTTTCCCCACATTGGTGACNCCACTTCGCAATCTCTCAACGGTTACGCCTACTTCGATGGATAGTCCACATTGTACGGTTGACTTGCTATTTGTGAATGCATCATTCACCTCCTGCGCTGTTGCTTCTCAGTCTCGTCTCGAACATTCACACAACGTCTACACTCTCAACGCCTGCATACTCTCGACTGCTAATGGCAACACAGGAGCGAATTCGATTGTGATGTTAATACATCTCTCACATTCAGCACTAAAAAAATCCGAAGACTCTCTCCCGGTCTTTCACAAGTACATCAACTAGTGAGATCTGTTACTCTAATTATATCCCTGATAAAATTCTGGTGGGGGAGTACTGTGGCGTAACTACCACTATCACTAGTATATAAAGCATGCTAACTTGATTCTATCATGAGGTACCTTTTGATAGCTGAAGGTTGGCATGGTCGATAACTCCGCCCCACACAATATATATAATTTAATCAATCGGGGTTAGTAAAAAAGTTTCAAAAGGAACCTCACTTTTATAGTAACTAATTTAAGAAAAATGAAAAAAGGTGAAATAAAGCTGTTGTAATATTTTTTTTATAAAAAATATTACTTCTTACTGAATTTCTAAATATTTAGCTGAATATTCGGCTAAATCTCCATTAGTTACATTTGTAATTTATCGCTCACTGGCGGCAAAACTCAAAAAATCATGTTTTGAGATACGGTTTAAAGTTTTTATTGCTAAGGAAAATGCTTCAGTTAGCATAAACAAATATTACCTTAAAATTGAATTAAGAGTGTGCTAGTATTGCTGCTGAAAAGAATGTGTATTTTCATATTCATACCTCTTCTTACTCCAAAACACCTGTTTTTTGAGTTGTGCCACTATTGCAGTCCATGAGCGATATATGCATTAAATATATTTATGAAAAACAGGAAATTTTGATTTAAATCAAAATTTGTGATTGAATATATTTTAAGAAGTTAAGTTTTTTAACTCTTATAAATATAATACGATCATAGAGTGAACTCTCAAGGGACTGAGATTTCGGTTCACTATAACCGGGAGTTCACGATATCTGTTACGCAGACAATTTAACTAATGGTTCCTTTTACTATCCTCCTTTTTATTACACATCAGTCAAATAAATGACTTAGAAATATTATATAATAGCAAAAAAAAAAATGTTATTTTTTTATCACTCTTCGTCCTGCGCACACATAAAATTAGTAATCTCCAGCTGATGAGCAATCTTCAACATCAGATGTGGAAACACTTCTCAACTCTCAGATGATTTTTCCTTAATTTCTGTTATTTTGCATTTTAAACCTGTCTAACCTGCCATTTTAGCACATGAAAAGTAGTCTCATAAAATCTCTTACGAAATTCATCACATTTGTTTAGATACTGGGAGATTGAGACTTCTAATGCAGAACCACTTCAGTAATGCTTCCTCAACATCCTTGCGATCTGCTTTTCTCAACTTTTTTCGGGCATCTAAATTTTTTTCACGAGCAGAAATTATTAACTGACAATTATTTCATGTTACAAACTGCAGATTTGGATAGTTTATATTCTCTTCAAATATCAGCTCGATTTCATCCTTTTCAATTTTTCTGATTATGCCCATATGAAGAACGTTTTACGTTTACTGGTCGCCATACTTAAATTTGAGACACTTGTTTGCAGTTTTTTTTAACTGAACTGAGAGAAAAAAGGAGTTGAAATGAGGGCCTTATCAACACATATTAGTGTCCAAAACTCCGACCAATAATTACTATTTCCCTCTGACAGAAAATGCATATTGATCCCACTTATACTTTACAGGTGCATCATCATCTGCCTGGGTTGGAAACACCTGCTCGGTTTGCTCATGGATGGGAAAGTGAGAAGAAGCAAACAAAAAATACTTATCGCTGCTACTGTTTGTCTAAGATAGGTACTCTGCTAGACATTCGTCTGGATCTGTGGCGGTGACTATGGTAACAAGGTATGATTATCTCAAGTAGGGGTGCGGGGTCCCTCTCTAGGACTGGTTTCGGCAAGAGAAAAGGAGACCTCTTAATCGTAGCTACCCTTTCTAAAATGCCCTCTTCTTGTTTCCATAGCACCAGACTGCCGCAGACTTAGTGGCGGTCATTGTACCTATCTTAGACAAACAGTACATTCCCCTCTACTGATGGTTTTAAAAAGCGGTATATATATTTATTTTGAAGTAGAAATTTCAAAATTATTACAAAAAAAAAAAAAATTAGTCAAAGACAGAAAAAAGTTCATTCAAGCCTCTTCAAGCATGTAAACATCTGATTTTATTACTAACGTTAGAACCAAAATTTTACTTTTGACGTGATGCATCAAAAACCTGTCAAAAATTTGAAAATGTACTTACAAAACAAACTGGAAATAAATATTAATTTTAGGACAGATTTTAATTTATTTGAATTCAGTTCTCAGGACATAGAGAGAAACCTATAAATGAAATTTAATAAAAAATTTTTTAAATGTTAACTTTAGAAATATTATTTTTATCAATAATAATGAAACGAAATCAAACCGGCTTTTCTTCTTATACTCCATGGTATTACAGTCAATCAAATTGGTTTGTTGACTAGAACAAATTTGATTCTTATATCGTCCATTGCTTAAACTACGGCCTGTAAGAAAAAGTTTAAAGAATCAGGTTCTGATATAGTATAACACATATTTTTTCAAAATTCTTTTTTTTATATATATTATTTATTTCAAATAGCACTATATATGTAAATCAGCAAAATTCATATATATACATATATAATTTAATGAGTAAGAGGGAGTAAAAAGTTGCAAAAGGAATCACTGTTTTATAGTAACCAATTTAAGAAAAATTTAAATTGTTCTAAAAATAAAGAAAAAATAAAGCTGTTTTAATTATTTATTTATAAAAAATAAATACTTATTATTGATTTTAAAATAATATATATATACATAATTTTTTTTTTTGCTACTTGGCCAAATCACCATTTGTTTGAATTTCTTCATATATATGCTTTACATATATTTCGATCTAAATCATAATTTGTGATTATATATATATATTTGCAAAAGTTCATTTTATAAACTCTTACAAATATATTTAAAAAAATTAAATTTTCAAAATACATTTAAAAACATGCCACCTAATTAAAAATTCTTTTACAGTTATATACAATACTTAAAAATTCACAATAGAATTTTTAAAACATCTAAAAGGAAATATATCATTTTAAACTACTGAATATGTATACATTTCTTTTCATAAAGCTTTTTATACCAACTACAATTGCTAAGACAGCAAAATCAATTTATAATTGAGAAAATTTTTTAAAAAACAATTTGTAGGTTAGTTTCATGCGACTAATAGCTAACCTCTTCAAGCAAGTTTCAGTCTGATTTTAATACTAACATAAGAACCAGAATTTGGGGTTTGACATGATGTATCAAAAACTTGTCAAAAAATTGAAAATGTTCTTACAAAACAAATTGGAAATATATATGAATTGGAGGATATAATAAAAATTTTTTGATTTCAGTTCTGAGGACAGAGAGTTGCACCTATGAATGAAATGTAATAAAAAGTTTTTAAATCTTTATTTTATAAATAATAATGGAGCAAAATCAAACCAGCTTTTCTTCTAATACTTCATGGTATTATGGTCAATCAAATTGGTTTGTTGACAAGGTAGATTCTTATATCGTCAATTGCTTAAACTATGACCTGTAAGAAAAAGTTTAAAGAATCAGGTTCTGTTTTAGTTTAACACACATTTCTATTAAATGTTTTTTATATATACATATTATTCATTTCAATTAGCACTATATATGTAATTCAGCTAAATTCAAATACAGTACAGAACCCGTTATCCGGAAATCAGAAAACCGGAAAACCAAAAAACCGGAACGAAATTCGATACATTTTCCCGCCATTTAAAAAAAAAATTTTTTTTTCTCCTCATAAGATTTTAGGATTTTCCTTTCTTTTTTGAAAGATGTTTACCTTACCATCATTTTGGAAAAAATCATTAGTGTGTTTCATCATTTTTTCTTCTTTTTAAGATTATATCTAAATTTTTTTTGTTTTAGTTTGGTTTAACAATTAAAAAAACAGCTTTTTGTAGCGATGCAGAAAACCGGAAAAATCCGTTATCCGGAATAGCGATGGTCCCGATCATTCCGGATAATCGGTTCCCTACTGTATATATATAATTTAATGAGTCAGTGTGAGTAAAAAAGTTGCAAAAGGAATATAGGTTTTATAGTAACAAATTTAAGAAAAATTTAAATTGTTCTAAGAATAAAGAAAAAATAAAGCTGTTTTAATTATTTATTTATAAAAAATAAATACTTATTATTGATTTCAAAATAATATATATTTAGATATGATTTTTTTTTTTTTTGCTAATTAGCAACATACTTGGCCAAATCACCATTAGTTACTTTCTTTATATATATATGCTTTACACATATTTATGAAAAACATGAAATTTCGAGAATTTGTGATTAAACATATTTGAAGAAGTTCAGTTTAATAACTCTTATAAATATGATATTTATAAAAATTTTAATAACACATTTTGAAACGCACCACTAAATAAAAAATTGTTTAGCAGTTACATACAAAATTTAAAAATTCACAGTACAATTTTTAAAATTTCAGAACTGAAATATATCATTTTAAACTACTGAATAACTGGATATATTTCTTTTTCTTATTGAAATCTGCTCACACCAACTACAATCGCTAAGACGTCAAAAGCAATTTAGAACTGGCAAAGAATTTTTTTTAAAAAAAAATTATGTTAAAAAATATTTCATGGAAATTTTGTCTTCAGACAGTTATTAATGAAATTTTTTAAAGAAATTTAACATTGATTACTCCCAAAGGTAAACTTTTTCTGAAAAAAACTATAATGTTCTGCGACAAAAACTCTATAGAGATGTTTAGTACGGAATTATTATTACTATCGGGAGTTTTAACTTGGGTTACAACATTTTGTCTAAACATAATTGAAATCAGAAGGGAAAACACATGTATCACTATCTTAGTTCTCCCCCACTCCAGTTGAACATGAATTGGCAAGCAGACACAGAAGCTGATGCACAAAAAAGAATTTATTTCCAATCACGTTCTGCCCTCTCCTCACACCCCATATAAAATGAATGAATTGACATTAGCATTTGTCAAAAAACTAGCTCAAAAAAAAGTTTTTGACATGACTGATAAAACAAAATACATTATTCTTCCCAAAAGGCAAAAATAGACAAATTCCATAATAATTTCTATGAATTTTTAAGACTTCTTTTCTAAAATATCAAAATAAACTATGTTACCTGGCAGACGAACCTCAACTTACTTTCTTTTAATTTTTTAAAATTTCTACATGCATCATGAAACTAGAGAATGAAATTCAAACAAACGAGTACAAATACTTAAATAGCCTCAATAATGTTACAATGAATTACACACCAATAAATTTATGACTAAGACAGTCAAAAAAATTTAAACACTTATATAGTAAAATAGTTTGTAAATTTAATCTATTTAATCAATAATTTCCTAATATTTTAAGCACAGAATAAAGGCTTCCTTAATAAAATACAGATCTCAGAAACCACATTTACCTTTTAAACAGACTATATATAAACTTCCTTTCTTTTTAAAGTACATTAATGCATTACAAAAAGCCTTAAAACTAAATATTTTAAATTCAAATACAAAACCTAACAATTTAAATACTAAACTTACTTTCTCTTCAGTAAATATTTGAAAGTCACACTTTATTATTTTAAGATGTCACTAATTAACAATACAAAACATAAGTATTCATTTTAATTAAATTAATATTTCGGGTTGATTCCCGTATCGTGATCGGCGCCACAATTTGGCGGGATCCCTACCGGCCGGGAGTTTTTTGAGAGGGCGCGGCCAAAATGACGTTTTCGCAAGTCGTCGGGAGTGGGATGGGCTTCATGATGTAGGAGCTGCTTGAATTATGAAAGAAAGAAACCTGATCCTTTCTCCCTTTGCTTGAACTGAAAACGATACAAATATAAAAACAAAGAGACTTAGTTTTAATTTAGGAAAAGAACAATCTTTTGAATTTATATATTTAAAAAAAGAAGTTTTTAAGCATTTCTTTTAAAGTTGCTATTGATTGATCAGCAAAATACGTTTAAAACAAAACATTTATTCTAACTAATGCAACACTGTACTGACAAAAAATTATTGTTATGTAACATTAAAGAAGAAGTAATTATTATTTTTAAAATAAATTCCTGCTACATATTATTCTAAATTGGCGAAATTTTTTCTAAAAAAGGAAATAGATTTAAAAACACATCACGAGTTAATTGAATTAAAAAACACTTAAAAAACTAAAGTTAAATTAAAAATTAATTGAATTAAAAAACATTTAATGTTATTAATAAAAAAGTAAACTAAGTACTTTCTTTCATAAAAATAAAGTTCAAAGTTATTGTAAAATTACTTACCAGGTCTTTCAATGAAATTATCCTTAGATATAATCACGGCAGTATTGAAGGAAAAGGAAAGACATAAACAAAAATGTCCCAGGGGAAGCAGGAATTATTGATTTTCAATTATCGGATCACGAATTCATTAAGTTGATTATAAATAATTTATAACATACTTTGTGAATCCAGTTTTTTAAAAGAACGTTAATCCTTTGTTCGGCATTGATTTGATATTAAAAAATACTAAACTGCAATACTACTAAGCTTCATATTAAACTGCAGTAGGGTAGGTTTTAAAATATGACATTAAAATTATTAGTACTGTCGAAGTTATTATTCGAAAATTGAATTGATAAAAATTATTTAAAAATGCCAAACGTTATAACACGGGGAAAAGTTGCGCGTGTACATGCCTATTGAACATTAAAGCAAAACTGAATTGGCGGCTCTTCATATCCCGCCAATTGTTGATGACGATCGTTCACGTGTCTCCATATGCGTAGCGTGAGGGGGGGGGGCATGCTTTTATTTTTCATGGAAAACTGTTTATTTAATTTAATTTTTTTAGATGTACNTATTTTTCAGATATGTGACAATTAGAAATAAAAGTAGCTTTCAAAAATTAAGAATTCTAAATAGCAGTCGGTAGTGTCAATTGTGTTTTTATCACAAAATTCCTGTGAGAAAATAAAAATATGGACAATGACGAACGCATTTAGTTTTTTACGCTAAATCCTTTGAATTGATCGGCAAAATAGTTTTGAAGTTATACAGGTTTTATGCACAAAAAGTTCTATTTTGCACTTGTACATATTTAAGCTTCTGACATTGCTATCTAAAAATATCAGGTATTGTTCCCTATTGCTATTTAAGCAAATAAGGTATTGTTCCGTATATTTTTGATGCTTCCAAAACGTCTAAATAGTCTTTTGTTAGCTAAAACAGGACACTCGAGGTCAAGCAATTTTTTACCTCTTACTATGAAGAGGATGCTTGACAGTTTTTTGATGTTTTGATTATTTTTTTTTTTTTAAGATTTTCATTTCAAATTCTATTTTTACTTTACTAGTAACACTGATACAGGAGTTGATAATTTTTTATCCTGCCTATTTTCACGTCTAATTTAAATAGTTAAAATAAATTTAGGTAAAATTTTTTAGCATTTTAGTAATGCTAATGTCATCTGTAAGTTAATTCCAAATATTTTCCAGTTAATTAATTAAGTTAATTTTAAATATTTTTATAGGGACCGAGGGTGTGCGGTATTGGTCCTCGTTAAACCGTGCTACCGTAAAGTGCTCGACTTCGCGCGCAGGTCGTCGGGCTACCGAAGCGGGGGTGCCATCCCTTCCGCAGAGGATTAAAATTGTGATAGCATGTCTTCGGATGATCCTCCGGGATGTTTCCCAGACCGTCGCCAATAGCCCATTGTGCAGCTCTAGTGCGACGTAAAGTAACAACAACAACATATATATATATATATACTGGTGAAATAGAGAGAATTTGCATATTTTATAGAATTTGCATTAGGTACAGATTACGTGTACATATACGTACAAACATGCATATGCATACATGCACATATACATAAACATACAAATACACACGCACACACACACATATATATATAATATGATACGTATATGTATATTCAATGTATATATACCGCTAGGCTAACCGTGGTGGTTCCCGTGGTCTTCCTCTCCATGTAACGCAAATTCTATAAAATATGCATATTCTCTCTATTTATTTCACCAGCATATATATATATAGGTTAACTGTTGACGTTTCCGTGGTCTTCCTCTCCATGTAACGCAAATGCGGGTTAACGCTTATTCCATAAAATATGCGAATTTATTACACCAGTATAAAAACATATATAATTTTATAATTTTTTTTGTTTTGAAGAAATTGAAAAATTTAATGGAGCATCATTAAGCTATTTATAATTAATGTTTTTTTTTTATGAATTGAAATATTTTAAGAATTTATTTGAATATAATTTTTAAATGTATTATTGATATTTTTTGCTGGATATTTTTAAACGTATTGTTATAAGAGCGATTTAAAAAGAAAATATACTGAAGAAAAATAAGTAATGAAATAAGTTCAATCCATTGTAAATGTAACTTGTAATGTTAAGAATCACGTGATATATGACGCTTGAGTAACGCCGTCAGAATCTAAAATTGAATCACGTGACACGCGAACTGCCTCTTTAGTGAAGCTCCGCCCCATCCCTGCTGACAATTGTTGTGCTTTCTGGATCACCTCGGTTGAATCGCGAATCTAGTTGGTCACCTTGAAATTGTCAATATATTTATTTAATAAAAATTTCAATTTTTAAGGCATTATATTTTTAAAATAATGGGCTATGAAAATTGAAATATAAAATAGTTAATTTATGTTTTAAAACTAATGGTTAAATAAATAAAAAACTTAACACAAATTAATTTAATAGAGCAATGAATGTAACCATATAAATTATATAAAATACAAAGCAGCCAAGCAGAAGATAATTAATTTACATTTAAAACTGCAATAAAATAAAGAATATATTAAATTTGCGGACGAGATTTCCCATTAAAAAAACCAAAAACAATACTGTGGAGCAATTGAAAAAATCAACGTTAGCGCTCTAAAATTAAAAAATGTGATTTTTGTGCATTTGGCCTCTTTATATAGTAAACGACATATTGAAAAAAAAAATTTCTTTTTTCGAAAATAAATTATTTTTAAATCAGTTTTTTGAAATTCAATTTTAGAGTTCATATCATTAGCAATAGAAGGAGAAAAATTGTCAATCATTGGTGTCACTTACGGGTGTCATCGAATACATATTAAAATGAATTAATCCTTATTTATTAGATCTATCTGGTTGTCAGAGAAACTATTTGAAAATGAAATATTCATCTCGAAGTTATTAACAACTGATAAAAGGACTCATCGACATAACCTTAACTTTAGTTTCTTAATATCGAAACAAACCATTGCTTGGGACATTGGCGTCGTCAGATAAAATTTATTGGGGGGGACCATAGTTATAACTGTTATTTTCAAGTTTCTAGAGAAAAAGAGAAAAATATTACCCTTGCCCTTATTATATGTATATATCCTAATGTATGACAAAAACATGATATCAAACAGAAGAAAATTATATTTCACAATCAAATCAATATCTTTTACTAATATTCAATATATAATTATGAAAACTGAAACCTCTTGATTCTATGATGCAGAGTGTTCCGTAATCTACGTCCTCATATATAATTTTAGAATCATCATTAAGAGTTAAGTTTAAAAAAATATACAAATTAGAAATCGCAAACTACCATTTAAAGGCAGGGAAAACGATAAGAAAGTAGTAAGAATCACTATTAAGATAAACGGAATTAAAACTTTAAAACCAGTTTGATTGCCGAATTTAGTTTGAAGTGTCTTTCAATTACACTATGTTTTTTTCGGCAAATAAACATAAATTTTTAATCTCACCTTCTCAATTGATGATTGATCATGTTTTGATTTTCTTTTTCTCCCCTAATGTGTTAATTTTTACTTTTTTGTGACAAGAATTCAAGAAATTTATCCAAGTAGTAGTCTTTACGAAACATCCTGAAAACAATACTATTAAAAAATACTATTAAGTGCGCAGAAAATTACTAATCAATTTTAGTATGTCTAATGGAATACAACATAAAGTACCGTCTGAGTGGAAACTTTCAGACTAGTAAAAACATTTAAGAAAATCGAAAAATACAATTTAAATCCCTTTTATTTAATTCTTAAAGTATATTATTAAGAAATAATATTACATGCAAAATTTGTAATCACGTAATTTTCAGAAAAAAATTTTATGCTTAAAATTAGTATTTAGTCCGAGTTAAAACTTTATATTTAAGTAACTACGGCCACTAGTAAGATTTAGGCAACTGAGGTCACTAGTAATATTTAGGCAACTACGAAGATCGTAAAAACACTTGCATTTGCAAATTTGCCGGGCATTTTTGCTACGTATTTTTCCGCATTTCTTATTGTATTTTTTCGAAGTTTTGGTGCTCTTTGTGAAAATTGCCAAGGGTAAAGAGATTAACTGATCATGAAAATAACAGATAGAAGCTTTTTCTTCAATAAATATTCGTGCTATTGCGATGATAAAGAAAGTTCAAGAGCAAAAATTTAAAGGGGGTTCAAGATCAAAGACTCTAGTCAGTAAGTTCAAAAAATTGAAGGACAATAATGGTAAAAGAGGATGTTGAAAGAAGAAACCTTGTCCTCGTGTGATGAAAGACGAGATTACAATGGTATAAAACAGACACCTAACTTTGTCAAAATCTAGTTTCTTCTATGAAAACTAGAATATTAGAAGAAGATAGGTAGTGTTAATTTTTAATATAGTTACAGACGAATGAAATGCAGAATTTAACGGTAAAAGATCAAAACAAAGCGTAGTAAATGCTTATATGTGTTGCTCTAATGCAGAGGTCGCCAAAGTGGTCTATATAGACCCCCAGGGGTCTATTTAACATAAGCGGGGGTCGATCTGAGCCAGGGAGTCGATTCGAACAGGAAGGGTCGATTGGTCGAAGGATTATCAGTATTTTTCAGATATGTGACAATTAGAAATAAAAGAAGAAGACTTGGATATATATACAGGTAATCTTCAAAAATTGAGAGACGATTTTAAGCAGCGTTTTGCTGATTTGGAAAAGATTGACATTGATTGGATTAATGTGCCATTTTCTGCTGAAATTGAAAACGTGGACATCGACCTGCAAGATGAGCTTTCTGAATTATTATGGGGATATGAAGCAAAGACGCATTTTAAAAATTCAACAATAAGCAAATTTTGGACAAATATTAATGCAAAAATATGTAAGACTTTACGAAATAGCTCAGGGATTTATGATAGCATTTCCAAGTTCCTATATGGTTGAAGCCGGTTTCAGTCACGTAAATTCAATCTTAACTAAGAACAGAAATAAATTAAATGTGGAGTTTCGAGGGGATTTAAGATTAAAATTGACCAATTTTGAACCCAATATAACGAACCTTGCAGAAAAAAAAACACCAGGCACACCCATGTCATTGATTAAGAAGCAATAAATCCGCAGCTACTTTACTTATTATTTAATCTTACTTAGAATTACTTATTATTTCATAAATATTAATGTATTTATATTTAAACATTAATATATTTTTCATAAAACTATTGTTACACTATGTACTATTACTTTAATAAATGTTCAAAATCGTAAAATAAATGTGCAAACACAGTATCTAACAGAGTTTTATTTTAATTAACAGAAAATTACTTTCATGGGGATCGATGGAAATTTCGAAAAATTATGTAGGGGTCGATGATCAAAAAAGTTTGGCAACCCCTGCTCTAATGTAACTCTGGCGTAAAAAAAGGAAGGAAAGATCTGGGGCTGACGGATCCGTGTTAACAACTACTGATGAGGATAATATGACGAAAGGACAGAAATATTCCCTACGAATCAAAGATTATTGTTTGTTTTTA